CTTCCTCATCTCTTATTACAGTCTTTGGTTTAAAATCTAATTTGTCTGATAGAAGGATTGCCACCCCAGCTTTCTTTTGGTGTCCATTAGCATGGTAAATGGTTTTCCACCCCCTCACTTTCAATCTGGGGGTGTCTTTGGTTCTAAAATGAGTCTCTTGCAGACAGCATATCGATGGGTCTTGTTTTTTAATCCAATCTGATAGCCTGTGTCTTTTGATTGGGGCATTTAGCCCATTTACATTCAGGCTAACTATTGAAAGATAGGAATTTAGTGCCATTGTATTGCCTGTAAGGTGACTGTTACCGTATATTGTCTGTGTTCCTTTCTGGTCTATGTTGCTTTTAGGGTCTCTCTTTGCTTAGAGGACCCCTTTCAAGATTTCTTGTAGGGCTGGTTTTGTGTTTGCAAATTCCTTTAGTTTTTGTTTGTCCTGGAACCTTTTTATCTCTCCTTCAATTTTCAATGACAGCCTAGCTGGATAGAGTATTCTTGGCTGCATATTTTTCTCCTTTAGTGCTCTGAATATATCCTGCCAGTCCTTTCTGGCCTGCCAGGTCTCTGTGGATAGGTCTGTTGCCAGTCTAATGTTTCTACCATTGTAGGTTACATATCTCTTCTCCCGAGCTGCTTTCAGGATTTTCTCTTTGTCTATGAGACTCATAAGTTTTACTATTATATGTCGGGGTGTTGACCTATTTTTATTGATTTTGAGAGGGGTTCTCTGTGCTTCCTGGATTTTGATGCCTGTTTCCTTCCCCAAATTAGGGAAGTTCTCTGCTATAATTTGCTCCATTATACCTTCTGCCCCTCTCTCTCTTTCTTCTTCTTCTGGGATCCCAATTATTCTAATGTTGTTTTGTCTTATGGTATCGCTTATCTCTCGAATTCTGCCCTCGTGATCCAGTAGTTGTTTATCTCTCTTTTTCTCAGCTTCTTTATTTTCCATCATTTTGTCTTCTATATTACTGATTCTCTCTTCTGCCTCATTTATCCTAGCAGTTAGTGCCTCCATTTTTGATTGTACCTCATTAATAGCCTTTTTGATTTCTACTTGGTTAGATTTTAGTTCTTTTACTTCTCCAGAAAGGGTTTCTCTAATAACTTCCATATTTTTTTCAAGCCCAGCTAGTATCTTTAAAGTGATGATTCTGAACTCTAGATCTGACATCGTACTAATGTCTATATTGAGTAGGTCCCTGGCAGTCGGTACTACCTCTTGTTCTTTTTGTTGAGGTGATTTTTTCCGTCTTGTCATTTTGTGCAGAGGAGAATAGATTAATGAGAGAACAAAATGCTAGCAGAGTAACAACGTCCCCAGAAAATATACTCTAAACAAATCAGAAAAGACCTGAAGCAGTGGAACAAGAAACGGAAAGAGAGAAAAAAGAAAAAGAAAAAAAAGAAAAAGAAAAAGATAAAGATAAAGATAAAAACAAATAAAAACAAACAAAACAAAACAACAGCAACAAAAAAAAAACCAGAATGTGATCAAATATGATCAGGCTGGTATATAGATCAGTGCCACACACTAGATTTGGGTTGTATTTTGGTCTTTTAGAAGAAAGTGCCTCCCAAAATTTTAAAGAAAGAAAAACTTACATATGTACAAAAATAAGGGTTGATATAATGAAGGGATGGAATATGACTGTAAAGATGGAAATTATAAAAAATTTTATAAAAGGAATTGATAAGAAGTTGTTTGGAAAAAGAAAGAAGAGGATTTAAAAAAAGAAAAAAGAAAAAAAAGGGGAGAGAATGTGATCAGGCAGGGGAGTAGAAAACACCATATACTAGAGATTTAGGGCATATTTTAATTTGTTAGAAGAAACTATTTCAAAATCTTAAAGAGAGAACAACTTATATATATATGCCAAAAACATGGGTAACTAGTATGAAGGGATAGAATATGACTCTAAAAATGAAAAATAAAAATGTTTTTTAAAAAAAGAGATTGATAAGATGTTGGTTGAAAAAGGGAAAAAGAGAAATTCAAAAAAAAAAAAGCTAAAAAAAATTAACTTTGAAAGAGTAAAGAATCATGGTAAAAAAGCCATGAATTCTATGTGCAGTATTCCCCTAGCGCTGGAGTTCTGCCGTTCTCATGGATCGGTAAACTTGGTCTTGGCTGGCTGTTGATCTTCTGGGGAGGGGCCTGTTGCCGTGGTTTCCAAATGTCTCTGCTGGAGGCGGAATTGCCCCACCCTTGCCCCCTCCCGGCTAAGTAATCTGCTCGGGTTTGCTCTCGGGGGCTTTTGTTCCCTGCGAGCTTTCCATACAGCTTTGGAGGTGGAGAGTGAAAATGGTGGCCTCCCAATCTCCGCCCCGGAGGAGCCGAGAACTTGGGCCCGGCTTCTCAGCCCCCAGAGAAAAGCCGTCAGTCACTCCCATCTCCCCGGTCTCCGGCCGCACTCCGTGCTCACCCGGCCTGTAACCCATCGTTTCTATCTCTGGCCCCCGACCCCGGGTGGAGTCTCCAAACCCAGCAGATCCCTGCGGTGCACTCCCGCGCGGCTCCTCCCCGGGGGAGGAAGTTGAGTCTCCCTGGATCTGCCGCTTGTTGGGTCCCTGCTGGAGGAGCAGGGGCCCGACTGTGCCGCGGATCACGGTTTATGGCAACCCCGAGCTGAGAGCCCGCGCCTGGGCTCCGCCTCTGCAGCCGGCTTCCCTGCTCCGTTACCTGGGAGCTCTGCCACACTCAGGCACCCCCGGTCTTTCTGTGACCCCGAGGGTCCTGAGACCACACTGTCCCGGGGGGTTCCACCCCCTGCTTAGCCACCAGAGTGACGTCCCTCAGTGGAGCAGACTTTTAAAAGTTCCGATTTTGTGCTCCGTGGTTCTATCACTTGCCAGAAGCGGCCGACGGAGGCCCCTCCCCCGCTATCTATCCTCCCGAATATCGCCTTGGATTCACTTCTCCGCACGTCCTACCTTCCAGAAAGTGGTCGCTTTTCTGACGAGAGAGTTGTTGCTCTTCTTTTCTTCGATCTCCTGTTGAGTTTGTGGGTGTTCAGAATGGTTTGATCCCTATCCAGCTGAATTCCTGAGAGGAGACGAAATCCAGGTCTCCTACTCCTCTGCCATCTTGCTCCGCCCCCCGATAACTGACTTTTAATACCTACAAATTGTTGAATGATACTAATCCCCAAGAGGGAATTTATCTTGGAGAGCCTTATATAAGAGGGGAAGAAGTAAGAAAAAAAATGTAAGTCAGGTGCAAAAATAAAAGATAGTTTTAAGTTGAATTCCTGCTCCCTGGTTTGTCAGCTTGATTGCATTCTGTCCAGCTGAGTGTTGAATTGTCTAGGTTCATGCGTTTACTGGGTGATTGATTCTTCTTAATGTGATCTGGGGTGTCTGTTTACAAGAGATCTTCGAGCTCCTGGATGGTTTTTGTGGTTAGCTTCTTCTTTCCTTTTCCCAGATAAACATTAGAGGGTACAGTTTTGTTCTGGTAATGATTTGGCTTGTTGAAAGCCCGACAACATCAAGAGCTTATTTATAGAAATTACACTTTTGTGATGCTCTTCTTCAGTATAACAAAAACTTCTTATTTCTGGAAAAGTCTTGACTGTATGGACTTGGAAAGGTTTCTTTTTGAAGAATCTTATTCTTTTTCCATAAAATTTCTCTTTATGACAAAGCCTTGACAGTTTTTTTAGTGTCTTTTGTTGAAGGTCACTTTCCTGTACACGCACACTGGCTGAGTGATGTGTGAAAGCTCTGCTTCTCTGTGAGGGAACTCATGAAAGGGGGCTCTATACTCTTAGCACATGTGGCGTGCATGCTCAGTACTTACCCAGTTGCTGACTCTTAAAGACAGTGCAGCTGAAATCCTAGCAGAGTCCTGAAACAGGTCGTGAGGGAGAGTCTTGGGCACTGAGGAATCCTTCATGGATATTATTTTCTGCACTTGTATTTGCAGATCTTTGGTCATACCTGTATGTCACATTCTTGCAAACACTGTCTGCATGCCTCCAGCTTCCCTTATTTTTATCTGCAGCAGGAAACCTCAAATTCAGAATACGACAAGGAATACATAGAAATATGACATGTATTAGATCAAACAGAAATACTAGTTATGTCTGATTAGTTTTCCTTTTTCATATTGAATATTAGATTCTATTTAGTGGACTAAGAGAAATATCCAGATGGATTCACTACCACATAGCAGTCAGTGACAAATATAGTTCTTTCTTTTTTTTAAAATTTATTTATTTATTTGAGAGAGAGAGAGAAAGAGAGCAAGCATGAGAGTGGGAGGAAGGGCACGAGCCCAACACGGGGCTTGATCCCAGGACCCATGAGATCATGACCCGAGCTGAAACCAAGAGTCAGACGCTCAACCGACAGTCACCCAGGTGCCCCAAGCCCATGGTTCTCTTATTAATTGAATTTTTAATCCTTTTTTGTTGTGCTTCATATGTTTGTCAGTTTTCTCTGATCTGTGAAATATGCAGGAATTCTTTAGTAATACTGTAAATAGAAGCCTCATTAGAATTATACAGTTCACTACTCCTGGTTTTAAAAGGAAATTTTGTTTTTATTTATTATTATTATTATTTTTTAAAGATTTATTTGTTTATTTGAGAGAGTGAGTGAGCGAGAGCACAAGCAGGGGGAGCGGTAGGCGGAGGGAGAGGGAGAAGCAGACTCTCTGCTGAGCTGCTAGCACGAGGCGGGGCTCGATCCCAGGACCCTGAGATCATGACCTGAACCGAAGGCAGACGCTTAACCAACTGAGCCACTCAGGTGCCCAGGAAATTTTGTTTTTAAATTAATTAAAATGGAAATACATGGGGCGGACAGTATAATTAGATGGCACATGGTAGTGTTGATTCTTACTCTCTGACTGTTGCTAGAGTTTTGGAATCAATGTTACATAAACTTCCATTTTACTAAGTATAAATAACAATATTAAATGTTGTAGAAATAATAAACATAGGTCATAGATTTTATGATACGCTTGAATGTTTTTTTCTTTCTTTTTTCCTTTTTAGAACAGGAAGATAAAAAAATGAAATTCTCAGATACTTCCCCCATAACAAACCACTTCTCTCAGTCAAAACTGGAATCCCCAGGGAGAATGGAGTCTGATAGACCAGATGATTCTTCCAGCTGTACTGATATTCAAGAAGAAGCTCGCTCTTCATCAGATTCAGACTCATTCAATAGGTAAGAAACCTGTATTACCTGATTATTTTAAATTTCTATTTCCTGCGCATGCTAAGATAGGCAAAAATAATTAGAAAATAACTTTGAGGCCTGAGGCAGTTCATTGTTCTTCCACTTCAGTCTCCTCTTCTGCTTTGTAACTTGCACACGGATAGCAAGCAGGGAAGCATGTGGGAGAGTATTACAGTGGCCCTGGATATTTTTCCTGGAGTTGGAAAAGAGAGCATGATAGGCAGTGATGTTTTTGTCAAGACAGTGAGTGAAGAAGATAAAGACAGCCGTACTAGAAAATAGAAATGACCAGAAAGACAATGCATAGGAGAGTAAAACAAAAAAGAATAATTTAATTGAACAAGTAAGAACGGATGGGCTTTAAAAATGAGAGATTTGGAAGCGAGTGGTTTTTCCAAATGATTTTTTAAGATATTTTTAAGGGATGCCTGGGTGACTCAGTTGGTTAAGTGTGTGCCTTCAGCTCAGGTCATGATCCCAGGGTTCTGGGATTGAATCCCGCATTGGGCTACTTGATCAGCGGGGAAGCCTGCTTCTCCCTCTGCCTTCCGCTCTCCCTGCTTGTGCCCTGTCTCCCTCTCTCTCTCTGACAAATAAATAAAATCTAAAAAAAAAAAAAGATTTTTGAAAGTTGACGTATTTTTAAAAGATGACATAGAGTTAAATCGTTGTATATATGTATACAATATATGTATATATATGTATATGTATATAAATTTGTGTTCTGACATTTCATTTTATATCATGAACCATTTATACCCATGTTTCTACCTCATCTTTATAGCTGTTTTTTAGTGGGTGCAGCATTCTCTTCTAGTTCTGTACCATAAATGACCAGATTCTTCAGTTTCTGTTAGATATCTACATTTTTCCCAGTGTTCTATTTACACACCTAAAACTGTGGTAAAGCTCTCTCTCTGTAGTCTTCTGTTTCTAATAAATCATTATTATTTTTTTATTTTTTATTTTTTAAAGCTTTTATTTATTTATTTGACAGAGAGAGACACAGCGAGAGAGGGAACACTAGCAGGGGGTGTGGGAGAGGGAGAAGCAGGCCTCCCGCTGAGCAGGGAGCCCGATGTGGGGCTCAATCTCAGGACCCTGGGATCATGACCTGAACCGAAGGCAGACGCTTAATGACTGAGCCACCCAGGCGCCCCTCTAATAAATTATTTTTAACACTATTTTGATAATGGTAGAGGTGTTGCTGCCTTCTGAGTGAATTATACCAATTTTAAATGCTACCATCAGCATGTGAATGTGTTTTAAAAATTATTTAGTCTTTGATATTTCTTCATTTAAAAAATTAACAGTGCTCTAGAATAATAGACTATGTCTAAACTGAAACATCAAATTAAGAAATTTTTTTTAAGAGGAGTATACCCCAAGACCCTCTGCTTTCCTAGGATTCTTGGGAAACTGTTACAAATTATTCAGGGTCGGGTATTAGGAGGGAAAAATCTCACCTCATCCCTAATGTTTTCAAGGTCCGTAACATATCTCAAGTTGGGTAAGTGACCTGCGTGTTGTCCCGTTTTGTCTGAGGGCATGGTACTGCTGCCCGGTTTCTCTACATCAGCCTGTTCCTGCAAGTCCAGTAGGCAGTATCTATTTTTAAATACAAGTCGTGGAGGAATGCAAGGTAAAAATGGAGGAAAATCAGAGTTCAGGGGAGTAAGAGTTCATTTTTAACCATAGTCCCAGAATGCCTGCATGTCTGGGAATGCCAGGGTGAGTTTGAACTTGAAGTGGGAGAATGGGAGAAGTTGTAGGAGGAAATACATGGCAGCAGATGTGTATTTATGTATTTGGTGGTGAGAGGCTGGTTAGTAGGGTGAGTTTGTTTGACATCTTGGCATATAAACATAGAAAAATATCATATTTCAGATCTGTTGGAAAGATGAATTGAGGTAATAGATTTGAGAATCTTGATAACTGTGTTTATTCTACTTTTATAAAGATGAAATCAGTTACATTTCCTTCAGTAATGCTGCAAAAATTGGGACTCTGGCTGGACATTGCATCTCCTTCATTCTGAATCTTCAACTGTATCATAGAGTAAATCCCAAGGTTATCTTTTTTTCTTTTTTTTTTTCTTCCCTCCCTATTTCTGTTCTGAACTTTGCTTGAGAAAGCTCTGAGCCTGGGCTAATTAGTTCCATTCAAAATTCATTTAATCCGGCCTAAGCTGGGCGCTAACTGGTGAGGCATAGTCTTCTTAGTTACTCCCTGTTGCATTTCCCATGGCACCTCTTCCACACCAGTTGCCTGTGTGTTTCCTCACTGTCGATGGACGCCGTGTCTGCAGTTCACCAAGGCCAGCTAGTCTGACCTGCCTCCAGCTCTTCTTTTCCCTTCTAAGGTTTTTTTGTAATTTCTGATCTCTTCTTTCCTGTTTAACATAACAGAAAGACGTATTTCTTAAGACGTTTCTAAAAAATTTTTCCTGTCAATGAGAAAAAGACATTTCTTCAAAAAAAATTTTTTTTATTACATTTTTAATCCCAGTGTAGTTAACATACAGTGTTATATTAGTTTCAGGTGTACAGTATAGTATACAATTCTATACATTGCTTAGTGCTCGTCATGCTAAGTGTACTGTTAATCCTCTTCATCTGTTTCATTCCTCCCCCGGCCTGCCTCCCTTCTTGTAACCATCGGTTTGTTCTCTATAGTTACGAGTCTGTTTCTCAGTTTGTCTCTTTTTTTCCTTTGTTCATTTGTTTTGTTTCTTCAGTTCCATATAGGAGTGAAATCATATGGTATTTGTCTTTTTCTAACTGAGTTATTTCACTTAGCATCATACTGCATATTGTTGCAAATGGCAAGATTTCATTCTTCTTTATGGCTGAATAATATTCCATCACACACACACACACACACACACACACCTTCTTTATCCATTCATCAATTGACGGACACTTGGGCTGCTTCCATATCTTGGCTATTGAAAATATGCTGCTATAAAGGAGACATATTATTTCTTTTTTTTTTTTTTAAAGATTTTATTTATTTATTTGACAGAGAGAGACACAGTGAGAGAGGGAACACAAGCAGGGGGAGTGGGAGAGGGAGAAGCAGGCTTCCCGTGGAGCAGGGAGCCCGATGCGGGGCTCGATCCCAGGACCTGGGATCATGACCTGAGCCGAAGGCAGACGCTTAAGCTGAGCCCCCAGGCGCCCCAGGAGACATATTATTTCTTAAGATAAATTCATCTACCTCCCCTAAGACATTACTTTGCCAGTCATCCCTTAGGTTTGTTCTTGGATGGCCCCTTTCAGCCTTCCTCTAATCTCTTTTTCTCTCATTCTTCCCACTAAGCAGGAAGTATTTTCTACTTCTGTGAATTCCTGTAACAGTGTATCTGAATTCCATAGCAGGTTATCTAAATCAAATCCTTTCTTGTATTTAGTTATTTGAGTATCTTTGTCATTCCTATAATTATCCATCAAAGTCCTTAAGAATTGAGTCTGTCACTCATTTTCAGAAAAATTTCCTGCCAACGGCTTACCACTAGTCTGCTACTACTAGACCTTCACTTAGTGAATGATTTATTGATTGTAAGACATAACATTTTCTGTTTTACATTTTAATGTCTGAAATTGTGATGTCTATTATAATCAATGGTGTCTTACAGTTGCTACCCACCAAGTTGTGGTCGTGATGTATTTACCAGTTTGTGAGCATCATGGCTCTTCAGACTGTCATTTCACTTGAGTTACATGCATTGTTAGCATTACATTGGTTTGTCATTTAAAATACCTTCCACAAAGTAATGAGAGAAAAAAAGAAAAATGTGTGAAGAAAGTGCAGCAGAGTGTAAGTTTGATGTTAGCAAGTTAATATTCATCATTGGATGAATGCTGCAATTCCATTCTTGAAAAACAATCAAGTGATTTACAGGACATAGGAAAGAAAGATACCCACAAGTCTGAAGACTTGTTATAATTTTGTTAATGAACTGTGTGCAGAGGATTTTCTGTTACATGACCAACTGAATGCAGGAGAAATGTTTAAATCCCTTGGAATAAATAGAAGAAATTTCAAAGTAATAAGAGGATGACTGATTCACATGTTGCAAAAGACTGTTGTTAGTGTGTCCCACATCAATTTGTCAGACCCTTCTTGATGTCTTTGAAAAGAAGCTGCTTCTAGTCACATGAAATGTGATTGAGGAAAGAGACAAATTTAGGAAATGAATTTACAGAGTGGATGTCAGTGCCTTAGATGAAATTCCTGGAGACAGTAGTCAAATATTTTTGAGAAATGCTGTATCTCTGGTGCTGTTGGTAACTTTGTGAGGGAAAACTCAGACTTCATAGATAGTGAGTCAGAAAATGATGAAGAAGAGTCGGGCTCCAAATCTGAAGACGTTTTGGGAATACTTTAACCAGTTTATGTCAGTTCTTTTTTTTATATATGTACAGCAGTGGTATAAAATAAAAACGTAGGTCTATATACAATTATAGAACTCTCTGGATACGTAAATTTAAAATTCTAAGTGAAAAGGAAGTCTTTTTTTAAAAGATTTATTTGTTTATTGAGAGAGAGAGAGTGGGGGAGGGGCAGAGGAAGAGACTCTTAAAGCAGACTCCCTGCTGAGCGCAGAGCCCGATGTGGGCCTCTGTCTCGTGACCCATGAGATCATGACCTGAGCTGAAACCAAGAGTCAGTCACTTAACCGACTGAGCTACCCAGGTGCCCCAGGAAGTCTTATATCATAGTTGACTTGACCTCAGTTTTTTCTAAGTGACATAAAATAATGGTTCATCTGCCATCAATGTTGTCTTAGGTATTTGTTTGTTTTAAGATTTTATTTATTTATTTGACAGAGAGAGAGATAGCTAGAGAGGGAACACAAGCAGGGGGAGCGGGAGAAGGAGAAGCAGGCTCCCCACAGAGCAGGGAGCCTGATGCGGGGCTTGATCCCGGGACCCTGGGGGATCACGACCTGAGCCGAAGGCAGACGCTTAAAGACTGACCCACCC